GTGTACCGCCATGGACAGACGGTGCCTACCGCGCCTCGGGGCAATTTCCCGCGTGATTTTATCTCGCATTGATCGAACGACTTTTTACACAAAATTGAAGTGGGGTCTTCTCTCAATATTCGCCTGCCGAAAGTCGGGGCTGGTCCAATTATCATGACTCTTCTGTCTGTGGAATATCAATACAATCGCTTTGATTTTTGGCAGTTGGAGTACTAGTTTACCTTTGATCGTAGGTGCAGTTGGGTCTTTGAAGTTTTTTTTCATACCGCTCACAAAGAAAGACGCGGACTATTTAGTCGTATCTACAATTTTTGGCACACCACAAGTATTATTTGGGTCATTCGTTTTCAACATTTATTACCTTTTTTTTTTCTATTTAACTTCTCCGAAATGGGCAAATTGTCGTAGTATAAATGTGCAATGCATGTGCCACAGATCTCAATGTTGCAGGTTAGCTAATTTCTTCACTACTGTTTCTTGTACCTCTACGTGTTGATCAATCAAGGAAAAAAAACTCAATACTTCGGTGATGACATCGTCCCTAATCTCCAAGCAGATTATGGGTGGCAAAAGACAGTATCGTATTGGCCAGGCAGTATCCAGTCGCCAGAGAGTGTCCAAAGGTGGCGTATTGGATCCTCTCTGACCAATGGATACTAAGTACTGCCTGGCCAATTTGATACTGTCTTTTGCCACCCTAGGATCTGCTTGGAGATTAATCGTCCCACCAGACCAACCGCATTGCAAGTGTCTACAAAGTTTGGTAACCACGGCACCGCGGTCAAATGCTTCTCCCCTCGTACGTTCCTTATCGTTGTTTTTCATCAAAACGCAGGAAGAGAATTACCACAACAAGGTTAGAGTCTGGACAAAACATGTCCATCAACCGGTGGTGTTTTCGGAAGTGGCACGACAGTCCAATACAAACAGCCGGTCGTTTCACACGCAAGGACGGCTCACAACCGCACACACAGTCACACTCGGGTCCGCCATGTCACATTAGTCACTCGGACATGATGTGTTACCGAATGATTCGACTGTCCGATGTTTGTTTGGAGTTCAAGAACCACATGTTGTAATGGCAACTAACACAGGGAACGCTAATCTCCAAGCAGATATGGAAGCTTCGAAGGCAAAGTCATAACGTCTTCCAGTCCCGATTTTTTTTAAACATTCGAAATACTATTAATTAACATTCGCAGTTCGCATGTTGTAACGAAAGATGTCACCGGATAAAAGTGGTTTTAGCTGTCAAATCAGTTCCATACCGACAAGAATATTGAACTAAGAATTTTAGGTTTCCTTCTAACATGCCGTCGTCACTGTGTACTAGTAGATGGTAAGGCTGGTGGTTATGAAAGTACGTGAACACGAAAACCCAAGATCTTGCTCAGAAGCCAATCTACTCTACTCTCCAATTGGCAGAGGGAAGATCGTTAACTTTTTACATATGGCCCGTTTTCTGTCGATACCCCCACCAACCTTGGGCGGCGCATGGACCCCCTCTGGCCAATGGATACTGCTTGGCCAATTTGATACTGTCTTTTTGCCATCCTAGGATCTGCTTGGAGATTAAATCGAGTTCTAATTCTCATCCTGCCTTTTTAAGTTGAAGTTCAAAGTCACAAATACTAGTAACGTCTGCGGAAATAACAATCTATACTGGGGCAACAATGGTTGGGTTGATGTAGACTATTTTCGTGCGGTGATACCATCATGGCCCGGCGGCACGTGTTGAGCACACAAAGTTATTCAGCTCCCCTCAAGTAGCGAAGCATCTCACAAAGCAAGCCCTTGGCGTTCTCTTTCATGTGCACCGACTATGTACTTTGTATTATCAACTCCCACGTGTGACATTCTGTGGTTAAACCTTCGCATCCAAAAGTCCACCATGTCCGACAATACATCAAAGACAGGAGTATTGAAAAGCCGGTGGCGTTGGCGCATTTTTATACCGGCGAGCGACGCTGTACATATATTTGCTCTGGACGCAATCGCAGGTGTGACATGTACAAGGTTTTTACACTCGACACAGATTTTCTGAAGTGGTTGTTTACACATTTCTGTGAGCCATTGTGTTGTTTGAACGGAAATATACACCTGACAGACGGTTCAGTCTTAATTTCCAAGCAGATGTTTCGTTGGCCGCAAAAGACAGTATTAAATTGGCCAGGCAGTATCCATTAGCCATCGTCTACGTCTACAGTATCCATTTGTCACCTAACAATGGATACCGTCTGGGCAATTTGATACTGTCTTTTGCCGCCACCGAAACATCTGCTTGGAGATTAGATCTATGTTTACAGGTGCATCTAGAATGGTTAGTTTCAACCCTTTTTCGCAGTGAGATTTCAGATATCATCGCTAAGAAAATCATGTGTCTAGATCCGACCCCAAGGACTCGAATCTTTCAATGCACGTTGTCGATAACATCAAAAAGTATAACTATAATTTGGTTGGCGCAAGCTTTTTAACAAGTTGATTACACTGGCGCGGTAATTATTTCTCTTAAACACTATTTGTATTTTCAGAGGAAAGCTATTGTAAAACTGCACCCTGCCTTTGTCTAGCCGTTGTTTTCATAATGCTCCCCATCTAATCTACAAGCAGATCCTAGGGTGGCAAAACAGCATCACCCTTGGGTGGCGTATTTGACCCTCTCTGGCCAATGGATACTGCTGGTCAAGAATTTTGATACTGTCTTTTGCCACACTAGGATCTGCTTGGAGATCACTCCCCATCACGATCTGACATAAAGTGAGCCAGTTGAACGTTTTCCTTGCTACCGAAGCGTAATGTGGCCAAACGCAAATACTGTGCCAAAAGGCCATGTTAGCACGAACTAGCTTAAACGTATTTATATGTAGTTGTCCTGTCCTATTAACAGTGTATCCAACACAAAAAGTACAGACCAGACCAGTTTATGGCTCCTGTGCAGTTTTTTTGTTTAATCTATACATGATAACAACCATGACGAGATGCATACATACATGTTCCACTAAGTCTACTTTGCTGCTAATAGTCTGACAGAGGAGCTCTTAACCTAACGCATCACAAGATATTTCCATTCTGTTCTGCCAGTTTCCTGTAAATCCTTCCTTCCTCCTGGAATCTTACATCATACATAAACTGCATTCTTGAAAAGCATGGATGCCTGAAGAGAGTAACATTGACACAAAAAAAGTGTAAAGCTCTTGTGTAGTGGTTTCGAGCGGAAGTAACCTGCATTTTGCTGTCTATGTCTAGAAAAAATTAGGTCTCTTGTGACTGAAATCATCTGCAGAATATGACAGAAAATGTATCTGGACAATACTTGTACTCATAACAACAAAATCATTCTGGAGAACATTTCTAACTCCTTATCAAAATTATCTCAAATTTCTTTACTCCGTTTTGTGGTCATATAAACCAAACAAAAGGAATCCTTACATAATTCAGTGGCCTCTCATTATCTAACTATTCCTCTAACAGATACAAGAACAGAGTCCTCATTTTATCAAAGCTAGCCCCTATCTTCTACTCCTAGACATTTTTGGCTACGAGAAGGGTGAAAATAAAGTTAGGAACTTTGCTGAAGGTTGCGAGGACGCCAGGCCAGGTCATGACAAAGGTGCAACCAGTCTTCTTGGAACAGAAAGCGCAACAATCTTCACTTAATGAACTTACTTTTACAATGTCCAGCATCTCAATGCAGAACTGACAAATGTGCATGGAGTGTATCTATACAAAGAGTGTTTGTTCTCAATGCTGTTTGTAACACTTAACACAAGTGGCCTTGCCCAATGTAACATCAGCGAAGAATAAAAAAGGTGTGACTAAAATTCAAAGCAGTAAGGAAGTAGCTATTACATGTATAACACTTCACTGTCATACTGCTATGCTAAAGCAGAGAATGAGGTAATGCATATTACAGAACAGCAGCACTGAACATAATGTACCTTCTGACAATCTCAACAACAGCCTTCCCTTCAACTAACCTAGAACATCCTCACTGTATACAGTAGATAGTCGCATGTATTACATTTGGTTTGCTGATGAATCCTTCCTGTTTTTAAACAACCAACGTTCTTCCCTAAAGTACAAATTTCCACTTTTTTTGCTCCTTGCATGTCGACGATCACGTTTTTTCTGTAACTGCACTACTGATCGTACACAAAACCACCCACAACCACAAACTGCTGCATAAGTACAACAAAATTGTTTTTTTTTACGTTCGCACATGAGACTATAGTTTCCCGGAAGACATCAACAAAGCACATGAACAACGAGTACCTCAGCTCTCCTGCAAAAATTGTTCTCAATATTTATGGCATATACTGCCTGCTGAATTTCATTTATTGACAAGATTGGTTTGCATTCATTGGCGCCTGTATAAGAATTTTTTAACAGCAGTGGAATCAATCAATAGGAAAGGGTGAAATTCGCACTAATTCTCCATTCAGGCTCTCTTGGTGGCGAATTCTCGAAAGTTATATGCAGAACTTGTGCAATTTTGATCACTACAAGTGTCGGATGTCATGATACCAAAGCCACAGCCGGCATGTGAGACTGTGTTTCTTCTGTCTCGTGGGATTTAACGGTTGGTGGGATGGTGGTCAACATTTCTGTGTTGTTTTCAGGCGGGACATTGTCTTGGATGGAGTAGATGTTACATAGCCTGGTTACCAGGCCTATTATAGCTCCCGAGTCCTACGTCCTCTCCTATTTGCAGAGAAGAGGAAGGACTCGGGAGCTATAACAGGTCTGGTAACCAGGCTAGATGTTACATGGGTGCCACAGACCGACATGGTGTTACATAGCCTGGTTACCAGGCCTATTATAGCTCCGACGTCCTACGTCCTCTCCTATTTGCAGAGAAGAGGAAGGACTCGGGAGCTATAATAGGCCTGGTAACCAGGCTAGACATTACATGTGCACCACAGACCGACATGGCGGCTGGAGGCTTGTATCACGACTGGCAGGACTAAGTAGAAATTGTGCGGTGGGTGGTGGGTCTGGGGAGGGTGTCATGAGACGGAGGAGATGGGGTTGTGGGGAGAGCCCATCTGGGTCAGGACTCTGTCCAGCCACTGCAGCGGGCCGTGCAGGTGGATCTCGATCCAGCAGGGGGTGGAGGTCACGTCCTGACGGTGGTACTCCGCGCCCCAGCCCTGAAGAGGGAGAGAACGGTCAAAGGTCACTTAGTGGTCATGTTTAGAGCATGTTGGCAGAGTGTACTGGACCTGAGCAAAACCTGAAATGTATTGTGCATAGCACTTTGGCAGAACGTCTCATATAAGGTCATATTTGTGTAAATAAGGTTAACATTCTCTCTGTAGTTTCTAAGTTATGTCTGAAAAGATGTGGACTGAAACAGGCAAAATTCTGATGCAACATTGACCAAACATCCAACAAAAATCGTGAAAAGCAGGGTCAATTTAGATTTGAAAAGACATTGAGGATTTGAAGAATCTACTCTTAAATCAATTATCTATCAAATATGTAATCAGTAAAGTTATGGCAGTGATAAAAACACCATAAAATGACTGAGAAGTTTCTGTTTCTGATTTTCCAAATCCTCATTATCTCTTAAACTGTATTGCCCATTGTCTAGTGTCCCTACCTTGACAAAGCTCATCCTGATGGTGCACATCTTGGTCAGCTCGTAGACGGCCTCGAAGCCGTGGTTCACCGACTGGGACAACAGCTGAGCAAACTCCTGGTTGTTGAAGATCTTCAGACTGCAGCCTGGTGGGATCTGGAGGGGGAGGGGGGCACGAGTTAGGACTGTGTAGTTGTGGAGCTACACTTTAGTTTTAATGTAGGCACAACTGCTCATCAAAAAAGCCTGAATCATGCGCCAAAGGAAACAGTTACTAAAGCAACTGGACATGATTTTGGAAACGGTCAGACATTTCAGGTAGCATCCACTACCTTTCATCAGTGACACTGGAGAGGGAGTTAGAATGTTGTTGTGATGTGATACAACAGTTTTCATGTTGTTTCACTGCCCGACAAAACAGCCTTAAACATGGTGTATGATAGTCTGATTCATCAGATATTCATACATGTATATTCATTTAAGCTTGCAGCAAACAAATTTTGTTTGAAACAATAGAAGACACCATAGAAGTGAACTAATGTTCAGAATAGTGAGAAAAGGTGAGAAAAATCACTGAACTATAAAACATACTGAATATTTTAAAGGTTACAGTACCCTGGACATAAAATATATATCTTTACCCCTTGAAGTCAGATCAAAAGTTGCTGTCCAGAGAAAGCCGTAAACCACACCTAGCTGCCTGAAATGTGTAAGAAGTACAAGACCTTCACCCTAAAAGGACAATCTAAGCTATCAATGTCCTGACGGGTCCTTAAGCATGAATGTATAATCGTCATCTTTGTTCTCAACTTTCTCTTTGATTGTGAAACTCTGCTTGGAAGGGCCACAACAACAAAGAGAAACTTGTTCACTTCATCTCCGCTCAAAAGCCAAAACCGCGATATCAGAATCGAAACGACTCTAAACAACTAATCCTGTCCATACTTCACGCGGATCAAACGGTTTCAAACCTGCCAGTTTGCGATCAGATAGCGGCAACCAAAAACCCGTTTTCATCCCAATCATGCGATCAGAAGGCTCTCAAGGTCACGGAGATGATGTGGCAAAGGGCCAGGATCAATATCAGTCAGCAGGCCACTCTCCGCGCGGGGTTATGGGCTGTTTATTGCCCTGTGGTGTAGCCGTTTAATTCCTGTTAACTCCTGCTTCAGCCACAGCTTCCACACTGGACGGTAAGAATTTACAGTCTGTCCCCCTGTCCTGACGAAAAACGCATCGATTTTGCCATTGGGCCGACGGAAAATGGCTTGCGGGGAGGTAAGGCCTGCGCCGAGATAAAATTTTACGACCCTCCGTTGGAATTTTATGACGATTCAGGGAGATGACAGTCGGCAGATAGAGCCATCCACGCAGGTCTAACTAGGCGATAGCTCATCCCTGTTGTCAGGGTGTATTGATCACGATGTCGTAATCAATACCATGGGCACTTCTTCTCGCACCAGACTGACTGATAACCATGGCGGCTCTTGATAATGTATGAATTGATGGCCAGTATTAGCAGTGAAAAGTCTGTGATAGCAATACACGATGCCTATTATCATCTGGTGAGGGATTACCAGAATATATATGCTGCGTTTGCTTGCCACTGCTGATGCATGCAGTCTTCAATGACTAATTTATGTTCATAGCTCTTTGGGAAAACTTTTTCTTCATTGGTGTCAAGACTACATAAATTTTTGGATAATTAAAGAATAAATAATTCTAAATTTTCTTTCGGAAGATTGATTCCTCTGATTTTCTGCCCTGGTTTTACAAAAATACTGGCATGAAGACTTGCACCGTGGGGTCGTGTGGCTTAACGGCAGAGTGCTCAACTCGGAATCAAGAGGTCCCGGGTTCGAGTCCTGACATACCACCAATCTTCTGCCCTTGGGAAGGGCACTTAAAACGACTTTCCTCACTTAGCTCAGGTGAAAATCAGTATTGTCCTGTCCTGTATTTGTCCTCTGCGTTGGAGGTGGCATAAAATAAGTTGAAATAACTTGAGTGTGCCGTCACCATGTCCAATCATGAAATGTTGGAATAATAAAAAAAAAAGACTTGCACACCTTGCATACAGTAGTGGGGTGGAATCCGTGGTGGTGGTTGCAGTTCCTACTCTGTACGAAGATGGCGCTGTCACTCAGGCACTCGGCGTAAACCTCTCCCCCAACATAGTATAGGTGCACGCCTGGAAACAGGTGAACATGTAGTTAATATGTCAAAGTACATGTGGTACTTTGTACCCTGTACACTTATTGTGCAATAAAGTTAAAGTTATATGTATTATGCAAAGGAGGAACTAGGAGTGTGTGACAATACAAGCCTTCATCATCCATCCTGTACTGCTACAGAATTATATCTGTGTGTCATCCTTCAAAAGTGTCGTTCCTTGTCTAAACTGTACCATACTAAGTATCCTCTGTATCTGTATCAATATAGCTGGTATACCTGCCCTTTGACGCAACACACCAGCTTCGCAGGCATGCAATGTTAAAGCCCCAACTGTGCTTGATAGCAGTGAGTTCTACTCTACAATAGTTCTTGGAAAATGAGAGTTTTTTAACACCTCAATTCTTGGTTGGTAACTCACCTTTCCCTATATGTCTCCTTGTGTTTTCAATGGTGGAGTTTCTATTGACGTTGGATATCAAGCCGAGACAGAAGCGGTCGCCGCTGTTGGAAGGGTCGGTGAAGCCGTCCACTATGATACTGTGACTTTTGGCATGGAACGGCTCGCCGACGCGGTTATTCAGTTCGTAGTACGCGATGGAGGCCCAGTAAACCGGCTCCTGGTACGTCACAGGTTGTACGTCGCCGCCTGAAAAATGAAAGCAGAACGTTCTCTCACCGACGATTCATAAGTATTCTTTATTGTCATCACTTATATCACTTAGATTCCATGCTTGTTACAATTACTCATGCCACACAGATGTATTGTTATGATGTACAATCAATTGGATTACTCTGAACGCTTACTGCACAACTAGATTAGAGACTCTAGAAAGCAGATTTTTCAAGAGGAAGGAGCGAGAGCAACAGCTGCGGATGATTTTCGTGTATTTGATCATCAGCCAATCAATCAGAGATTGCCCCTTCAGAACCTGTAAACATTCAAGATGCAGAAAATGGATCATCAGAATCACGTCACACGCACGCACACACGTCTGGAGCCTCTACTCGAGTACGATACGAGCCATGTCTACGGGAGAAGAGAACCACACGGGGTGTACGTGGAAAAACTGGAAGGATGAGGATTCCAGAGTCGGTATTCGTGAGAAATGCGGCGGGCAGCCTGGGTGTATGGGAGAGGGGGTTTACAGTAACACACAACATTCCATACTCATCATGCCATGTTATGCCAACTGTACATAACATAACCCAGGCCAGGCATGAGTATAAAAGCTACCCAGATCAGAAGACAAAGGAGAGGCACCGTACATTCAAGGAGAATAGTCCTCAACTCGGGTGGCGGTCTTGAAGACAAGGCGGCTATGTTTAGCCCATGTTCTATAAACAATGAGAAGTGATTATAGCTTACCACACAGTTACACAAGATCAAGGAGACACTGGGAAAATTTGAATTTTTTAAAATTCTTTTTAAAAACGTAGAAGCACTGGTGCACCTAACCTAAAAAGGAAAATCTAGTGTGCACGACATAGAAGGAAGTAGAAAAACCTATTTACAAACATTCATGCCCCTCTTCAGGGATTGAATCCAAAATTTGATACCTGACTTCAATTAAAAGTTTTGAACATTACAAGAAATTTTTAATGTGAAGAATATACATATATTAGCTACTGTACAATAGTACCTTTATGTACATAACCCTACACAAATATCTAGGTGCACCAGAGCATCTAACAGCCAAAATTAGGTTTTGGGTGGCCAAAAGTGCAAATGCACCTAGTATTTTGAGCCCAGACTTTCTCAAATGGCAATACTATTTTCTAGACAAGCGTGCATGTATAATCTAGAATAGAGGAACAGTAGATTTTAAAAGATATCTTGACTTAAGTGTTATTGAGTCAGGAGTAGTTTTGACTTTGCTGTGTTTCCTTTGCTAGCATTGCCTCCAATAAAAGGACTTCCCAGTATACCCTTTCATGCTTGCTCCAAGTCTAATGTTCTCGCTTGTCACAATGTGGTACATTTCAGGCTATTTGTTCCCTTCTTCAACTTGAAAATGCAGGCCAAACAGACACAAAATCAGAAGAGTATAAGATCATTAGGTGCAGGATTTTGACACTGTTGATGTTTAGGATGTTGTAATTTAGTAATAGTTTATGTACTGTGTATTTACTGTGTGTACTTTTATGTGTATCCAGGATTACCTGAAAAGCAGGCCGGGATGGCCTGAGTTGTAATTACTGGTTAAATAAAATAAACTGAAACTGAATCATTTCCAGAGAACCACATAGCTATAGTCATACTGCTAAATATAAGAAACTAACTCCTCCTTAACATTTTCAATATCAAAGACATTTTATATTCATTTCGAAGAAGCGTGCTGTCATTTCCAAAAACACCTGCACATCTGTACAGGAAAAATAACTGCATGCCTCGGCATAACACTGGTTCATACGTAACATGTCTTCTTCAGAAGTAATTGTACAGGTAAGAGAAGAGATGTAGTGAGTGAGGGACAGTACTTACTGACGGCGGTGGGTACATTGGGCACGGCGGGCGAGCCCAGGCTGCTGGCGGGCGACAGCTGGCTCGTCGTGTCCATCTGCTCCTCATTGTTCCTGTTCTGGTCTTCTCCAGGCGGCATGTACGCTGGAGGGGGCGTGTCTGCTGTGGACAGGACACACGCACAGTTTACACACACTCTTAGATGTTAAGAATATGCTGTATACTACTATACCTATGCCTATATGAACCTACGAAAATATTTGGGTGCACCCATAGAAAAAAGTTGGGTGCACAGCTCCAAATTGGGGTGCACTAAGGTGTACATGCATCCAGTATTTCCAGTGGGGGCGTGTCTGCTGTGGACAGGACAAACACACAGACAGTTTAAACACAATCTTTTTTTCTTCACTGATGAAGAGTGTCGGAGAGACAATTGCAATGTCTGACAATTAAATTCTAAGATCCAGTGGTAAAGTTTATTACTCTTGGAAACATGTCAAACTATTTGGTGTAATATAGCTAGCTGCCACCGTGCCCCGTGCCTGCTAAGCTGGTGTGTTACGCCAAAGGGCAGTTATGCCAGCTATACAGACAGAACCAATACACATAGCAACCCAGACCACGGCACAAGTTACAAGAACAAAAAGTTCCACAAAAGTAAAATGTTCACAGTCAAGAAAGATGTCACCAAAATGCATAAATTTTTGCCTTAATCCTGAGCCAAGGAATGATAAAACCCAAGCAAATGCGACCAATACAATACTAGTAACAAAATCAGCCAGCAAGTGTCAACTAAGTCAGAAAACTATGCAATAAGGTTAGTAAAAGAGGATGAAGCGGTTAATTGAGAGCTTGTTTTCTGCCATGTTTGTAATCTCCAAGCAGATCCTACAAGCAGATCTGGCAAGGCAGTATCCATTGATTGGCCAGAGGAGTGTAGCCTGGTTACCGGACCTATTTTAGCTTCTGAGTCCTACATCCTCTCCACTATTTGCGGAGAGGATGTAGGACTCGGGAGCTATAATAGGTATAATATAACCAGGCTAAGAGGAGTGTCCGTTAGCCACCGAAGTGGACACTACTCTGGCCAATGCATACTGCTTTGCCACAGTATGATCTGCTTGGAGATTACCCTGTGTGTACTAATAGTGAAGTGTAGAGAGAAAGAGGAGAGTGTAGTTACCGGGTTGGTTACCTGGCTGCATACTGTAGGGACTGCTGGGGCCGGAGCTGGCCGGAGAGTGGAGCCCCGGGGAGTGGGGGGACTGCATCCCGGGGCTGTTCTGGAACGACTGTGGAAATGTGGCATTGTGGGGCATCGGGGGCTCGGGGACGTTGTGGTACGGTAGGAGCGTCTGCGACGGGACGAACTCGCTGTGGCGGGGTACTAACACTGGCGGCAGCACTGTAAGAAAAGGTACATGCTGGTTAACAAATGTGCCTGTACCTGGACAAACTTAATTTACTACTCCTAGATACATAGATATAGGGAAATCTGTGATGGGATACTAACACTGGTGGTAGCACTGTGGGGAAGGAGCATGATGGTTAACAAATGTGACTAGATACCATTTCCAGCATATAGGTAATTCCCTTCTCAAAGATGACAATTTAAGTTAAATTTTAACACATGAATATTGGGAAAACTTGTAGTCTTACTGTTGAGACTAGAAATATATATACCATCATACAATGATGACAATTAACCACTAAAATAGGCTTTTATGTATAACTTATAAATAATTGGCCAAACTTCTTTAGGTAAAGGTAAAGGAACAGGTACATTCTGTATGTAAAGCCCTGTCCCTGTACCTGTACCTGTGAATGTTCCAGGTACACAGCCATACCTAAGGGCCATCGTAATCAAATAAATGCCATTAAAATCAATTCATGGATGAACCAGACAGGTGATTCTTCTTACTTGTAATCACAGTAGTAAGTATTGGCCACATCTTTCCCCCATGGATACCACAGGGATGTGTGATAGATAGGGACTTCATTCTCGTGTCCCTGCCCTCACCATCTCCCTGTGGTTCCATTATCAGATCAATAACATCCCACCCTTATCTCCTGTACTTCACCTTCCGAGACACCACACAGACAATATTACTATCACTCAGCCTTCACGCAATTTGGGCTATCTCCGACGGTGATCGTAGCGGGTCCCAGGGATATCTATTACCCTGCACCTTCATTCAATACGCCCCTCGCTGTTGGCTATCGCTGTCGGACGGGACGGTTGAATCGACCGGGAAGATCGGGGTTTGATAACAGCTGGTGTCGCTGTTAAACTTCACCCAGCAGGAAATTACTACCTGCTTGATACATCGCAGCAATATTGAGGAAGACCTTTACCGTACAGATGGCACAGACATCAATAAAAACATGCGCCAGCAACCGAAATGAAAAACAAGGTTTACAAATAGACCAGGATGAATTTTTTTTGCGAGCTATCATCCCATGGGAACTTTCAATCAAGTTTAATGGAAACTGTAACTGTGGCCTTCAGAATCAGGGTGTGGGAAAGTTTATACAGATTTGTGAAACAAGGTACTACACCATCACAAGATGCCAGTCTTCAAATCTTAAATTACATCTATCAAATCATTGCAAGACAGAAGTCCTTCCTCCTATGAAAAACTGCCTCTTTGAATGATTCTGACTGCATTAGTAACCAAGTACTGCATTACGCAGTATGACTTCAGCTTTTTAAGCTGCTAAAACAAGCCTTTTTACCGTTTAGCCTGGGGCATTACAGGCTAATATCTATGCAAGTGCTATATTGCTTTCTTCCATCATGACATTAGGAGTAACTAAAGGTTGCTCTCTAGTACTTTCCGTATCACTTTTGTAGGTAAAGCAATATCCTTTTACTTATTACTTCACTTAAGTGGGTGGGGGTAGAGGGAAGCCATGAATAACCTTGACATCCAACTCCAAATTGCTACACAAAATTGTCCAAGACAGTAATAACATTCTAGGCCCTTCTGACTCAGGCCTAGGAAAAACAATTTTGTGTTTCCTATTTCCCAACAAACCTTAGCCTTTTTTGGTGGACCCTTGTATATGAATTTTTTAACCTGATCTACCTTTTCTAGCTCCATGATCAGAAACCTAAATGATGAAACATTGTACAATCCGTTTGCCAACATTGACATTGAAAATATAAGTGTCTTGATGCAAAGTTTTAATTTGTAAAACTGTACAAGTTGGATCACTAGAGAATGCCAAAGTTTAATAAAAAAAAATAAAGAAGAAGAAAAAAGATAATCCCTACCTAATTTTTCCAGGACTGAAACAGGAAACACAACATTTTTTCCTAGGCCTCACCTTGACTCCATGCATGTGTCAAATGTACGCAGCGAAACCCACGTAACAATGACTGATGCCAGGATCCCGTCAAATCCTGGCGAGGACAGAATTCAATCGTTCCGCGTGTAATTAGGATTGTTCTGATTTGATTTGGCTGCTCTAGCAGATTACATTTTGACCTTCAACTCAGTTAGTTGATCCGAAATGTTGCAAGCCTCTTCTGTCATGAAACTTGATGTGTTGTGCGTGCAATAAGTTCTCACCCAGAAACAATGGGCAAGACTCAAGTTTAGGGTTATTGTGATCGTTATTTTGCAGGCAATTCCCTTTCAAAATCAGTAACATCAGGTGAGGGAGAGGTAAAAAGAGATTCCTCACCAATATCGTTGAAGAGATTCATTTGTCACGTATAGATACAGTTCCTAGTGAATTCTTTTATCAGTGACAACTTTGGAAGGATAAGGATACTAACCTCCAAATTTTCGATGGCTATCAGTCCATCTTGTTCACGGAGTGGCCTAATCTCGCGAGAGCGCGAGACTAGGCCCGAGACTTGCATCGGTCTGTCGGGTCCCACCT